CCCCGGAGTCATTGTGCTGCCCAAGTTCCCTCCGCCCCCACCCAGCCCCTCCGCGGCGCACTGCCTGTCCCCGCCGGTCCTCGCCGGCTGCTTTTGTGGCACCGCTCTGAGGAGCGAGGGTGTCAGTGTGCGCGCACTTGTGTCGTTTAATTGTAGGGTTTTTGTAGAGAAACGCACTGAGGAGAAAGTTGCTTTTCTTTTTGAAAGCCATTTCAACAGTGCCTCATTCTTGCATAGTTAGACTGCAGCTGGGTGTTTGGCAGTGCGACTAAGATAATAGCAATACTGTAGTGATTATGGGGACTGGTTGAAATAGGTTGGAGCTGAAGGCACTGCAAGAGTTTGCCGGGCTGTTTTAAATCTTGACCAGCGCTGGCATTTCTATTAGAATGGAAGCTTTATCATGGTTGTGATAATAGGTTATTGCTGCTTCAAGTGAAATACCAGTGTCTCACTCGTGTGTGCGTGTGCGTGTGTGTCTGTGTGTCTGTCTGCCTGTCTGTTTATAAATCGAGGAATGAAATGTCTCTTTTGAAAAACAGGTCAATGAGCAGAGTGACCTGGGACAGAAATATATGGATGCAGACATGAAAAGAAATCATTACAATATTAACATGCTACATATTTTTGTGGAGGTACACTATAGATAATATTTCCACCCATGTGGTATTTAAACATGAATTTTTACTGGGGTTGGAATCCAGGCTTTCCCAGGTAGCTAGTGCTGGGCTACTAAGCCACGCCCCCAGCTCAAACAGTCCAAACTTTAAGGACAAGGACGAGGAGTCCCAGTATCATTTACAGTTGTTTTATATTTGTGACTGTTATAGGTGGGTCGATCCCTGGCCTTCTCTCTGAACACTTGAACTTATTAAAACGCTACAATAGTACTATTCCTGGAAAGAACGTTATTCGGGACATTGCCATTTAATCCAGTTTATTCGTGATCTACAGGAAAAGGTGGCTTGTGTCTGGGAGGGGCCCATAGCCACAGCTTTCAGTACAATGTGAATCATGCAAAGATGATTCCTGGACAGGTAAGTCCTTTTGGCTCAGAATGCATAGTGTGTGTCAAGAAGCGCTGGAGCAAATCCCTTAAAGTAGAGGGACCTACTGTTTTTGAGGCTGGCAGCCCACTAAACAAGGAAGTGTTGGGGGTGGAGTTCCAGCTGTAGCGGTGAAGAGTGGGAGGAGGCTGTAGCGAGGACACTGGGTATGTGAAGTAGTTTGGAGCTCTAAGCCTGTTGTTGGGAATTACATAATCGTCAGTCCTCAAAACCCTGTTCTGGAGCTGGTTAGATAACTCTTCTCACTAGGAAGTTAGAGAAATATCCAAAAGACAGTTGTGGCTGGGGTGTTAGTTCATTAGTTGTGTGCTGAGTGATAAGTGGCACTGTGGTCGCCTCCAAAAGACAATTGTGTTAAAGCTAGTTGCTTTAAAGATTATTGAGCCTGTGGAAGAAAGGATTTTATATTACAGTGCATAATACAGTAAAACTAATTCTGAAAACTCTCCTTTCTTGGGATGTTAATTTGAGTAAGAGAAGTAGAACATTTGTTCATAGGAATTTTTGCACTGAGCCCTTCTCCCTTATGGTGTCTTAATTTTGAAAGAATAATTAAAATTGAGTTACAAAAGATACGACTCAACATGTTAATATAGTATGCACATCTTTTTAGTTTGGATTAGACATTTTCAGTTTACATGAATTGTCATCCAAAAAATTTATGTGTGTATGATGTATGTGCAGGTTGGTGTGTACAGGTGTGGAAGTCAGGGGAACTTTGTGTAGTCACTTGCCTTCCACTTTTCTGTGGGTTCCAGAGATTGAAGTCAGATTGCCAGGCTTAAATACAGGCAAATGCCATTTCCTGTGGAGCCATCTCACCAGCCTATAGGTAAAGTTTTGCTGTATTAATATTTGAAGTAATTTTTGTGTTGGTAGTCATCACAGTTGGAGAAGCAGATAGGGAATGTGGCCCAGTGGTAGAGAGTGTTCATGAAGCTCTGGATTTGGTCTCCAGCACTGTAAATAATCAAAATACCCAGACAATTTTGGTTTTTGTGGACTTTGCTGTAAAGCTAGGTGTCTGCTGTTTTGAGCACATGTTTTCATTACCATTTCCCCATTAAGATTTCTTAAATTATCAGCAATAAATTGCTGCTGGGATCTTTGAGGACTTTTACTGATGCCTTTAGAATTTACCTACGATGAAAGAAATTTAAAAGGTGGGCAAATTAAGTGACAGTGGTGTGGTGGTAGTGATACACTGTAGGCTGCTTAAGAGTGTAGCTACTTGTCAGGTACTAAGTCTCATGACCCCAGCTGGGCTCCTCTGGTTCTGAGGCTCACTGGTCTCATGAGACTACATTGAGATGTGTTTGACCACTGTCTCTGAACTGCATTAATAATGGATATTTGATCTTTTTGTTTTGTTTTGTTTTTTTCGAGACAGGGTTTCTCTGTGTAGCTTTGGAGCATATCCTGGCACTCGCTCTGGAGACCAGGCTGGCCTCGAACTCACAGAGATCCGCCTGCCTCTGCCTCCTGAGTGCTGTGATTAAAGGCATGTGCTACCAACGCCCGGCTGATATTTGATCTTTTTTGGCTTTGTTTCTTTACTTCGTTTTGGCAGAAGTTTATTTTATATTGTGACTGTGAAAAGCAAAGCAGCCTTGTGCAGAAGAAATTAAATTATATATCCCAGTTTCTGGTACTAATTTCTAGGAATTGTGCTAGATTGCATTCACAACTCCTTAAAGTAGTTGCTGATTATAAAGCCTATAATCTGTAATATTTAAAAATTTTATTTGTACTGGGTTTTAGTATGGAAATACAGTGCAGAGAAGTCTGTGGTTCAGCTTTCAGTTTGAGTGGAATTTAGCTGATGCCCTGTGTTTAATTTGCCCGCACACTCTTGGAAGTGGGAAATAGAGTTTGCTGATGGAGCTGTAAGCCTGGAGAGCATCACTAGTTTTGCCCAGAGTTTATGGTCATGAAGATGTTTCCTTACCAGCCTTAAAGTTAATTAAAGTAGTTATATGCAGACCTCACAGATGTGTATTTCCCATTGCTGAAAAATTACTGCAATAGTACTTGTAATGTGATCTAGTAATAGGGGAGTGATCTTATCACTGGGCCCTCATGTGTGTCACTGCTTTCATGCAAAACCTCAGAGAGGATCAGGACTCTCAATTAGATTTGTTGCTCTTCCTTCCCAGTCCTGAGTAGGGGTTCTGCTTCAATCTTCTGTATCTATGAGAACGATTGGGTTTCAGGTGCTGTACCATCTTCAGTGTACGCAGAAGACCTGGAGGTTGAAGTTAGAGTAACTTGCTGGAGTTGCTTGGCCCATATGGATAAGACTCAGGGCCTTTGGGTCTGGACACAGCTTAACTAGTCTTCAGAATGTGAGTGATGGTATCTGGGAAGTTTAGATAACTAGGTTTTCCCTTCCTTCCTTCCTTCCTTCCTTCCTTCCTTCCTTCTTCCTTTCTTTCTTTCTTTCTTTTTCTTTTTTGGGTTTTTCGAGGCAGGGGTTCTCTGTGGCTTTGGAGGCTGTCCTGGAACTAGCTCTTGTAGACCAGGTTGGTCTCGAACTCACAGAGATCTGCCTACCTCTGCCTCCTGAGTGCTGGGATTAAAGGCATGCACCACCACATGACACTTTTTTCAGGACTTGAGCTTCTGACTTACACGGTGTAATATAGGTTAACCATTGACTCTATCAAAATTTTGGTTATTTGGAGTCAGTTAAGAATTAGTTAAATACAAATACATAAGAGTGGATTAGTGATTGTTGCTTCTTATTTGCTTTAGTGACTGACACAGCCTCAAGGCTTTTTGTGGGTGATTTTTCTTGGGTTATTATGAATAAGGGGAACAGTTTATGAAAAGCAAGGAAACTGTGTTTCTCTCAGAGACATGAGCCCTCTGTAGAACCCTAGGAAATTATAATTTCTAACACACTGTCCCTGTAAAGCAGTGGTTCTCAACCTTCCTAAAGCTGAGATCCTTTAATACAGTTCCTCATGTTGTGGTGACCCCCAACCATAAAACAGTTTCATTGCTACTTCATAACTGTAATTTTGCTACTGTTATGAATCATAATGTAAATATCTGCTATGCAGGTCCTTAAGGAGTCTCAACCTGCAGATTGATAGCTACTGCTATAAAGCTTTCTGAAGTGAATATACTCATTCTCTCCAATTTGGAATTTTCCATCCTGCTTTTAAGACATGCTCTCTTCATTTTGGGGTGTCACTGAACCAAAACCAAGCCTCAGAAGGACTTCAGAAGTTCTGCTTGTGGGTTGTCTATGTCTGGGGTCTCCTTTCTGCCACAGTTTTTGTTAAAATTCCTGTCATCTTGTGGCGTGGACTATAGGCACTGGCAGTTTC